ATCAACTATAAGTACGTTTCCTTCTTACATATGATTTCAGATCTTCTAGTGAAATAAGTTAATCAAGAATTAACAATTTTGTCATTATTTCACAGGACACCTCTCGTCGGCGCATTTCTAGAAGCTGGAAGAACACTTGGACATCCAACATTAGACTATAATACACCAGAGAGGCTTGGATTCGGGTACTTGCAATTGACAACAACAATGGGCCGAAGAGTCAGTGCTGCGAAAGCTTTTCTGCACTTCAATAAAAAAAGACCGAATTTACACATTCTGATAGACACAAGAGCTACAAAAGTACTAATCGACAATGACACAAAAACTGCTAACGGAGTCGAATATGTGCGGAATCGTATGAGACAAATCGTAATGGCTCGGAGAGAAGTCATATTATCTGCAGGGCCAATCGCGTCGCCGCAGTTGCTCATGTTGTCAGGAGTAGGACCTCAAGAACATCTTAGAAGCCTTGGTATTCCTGTCTTCCAAAATTTGCCTGTAGGTCGTACTCTTTACGACCACATATCGTTTCCAGGACTAATATTTACGCTAAACGTCACTGGTGTTGCTCTCTTAGAATCTAGGGAAACAACATTAAACAATTGGTTACAATGGATACAATTTGGTGATGGCCCTGGAGCAGCTGCAGGGGGCGCTGAAGGGCTAGGATATATTAAAACCCCAAGTTCAGATGAGCCAGAACGAGTACCGGATATTGAACTCCTCAGTATTGGTGGTTCTTTAGTATCAGATGGAGGACCTGGTGCAAGCAAAGCTGTGAGAAGAGGAATGATGATATCCGACGCTGTTTTCGATGCCGCTTATGGATCTATCGATAACACAGATACTTGGAGCGCATTTTTGATGTTACTCCATCCAAAGTCTGTTGGATACCTAGAACTACGAGATACTAACCCATTCGGTTATCCTCGCATGTACGGTAACTACCTAACAGATCCGAGAGATGTGAGAACATTTATCGAAGGAATTCGATATGTACAAGCTTTAGCAGAAACTGAACCATTTCAAAGATTAGGTGCTCGGATACACCGAGCTCGCTATCCAACGTGTCGTAAATTAAAATTTGACTCTGATGCATACTGGGAATGTGCTGTGCGTACTCTGACTGCCACACTGCATCATCAGATAGCTACTTGTCGTATGGGGCCGAAAGGCGACCCGCGCGCGGTCGTCGATCCTGAACTGCGCGTGCATGGCATACAACGTCTACGCATAGTGGATTCGAGCATCATTCCACGGACAACTTGCGCTCATACTCACGCACCGGCCGTTATGATAGGCGAAAAAGCTGCCGATATGATCAAAGCCACTTGGAACCAACAGTACGAGAGCTATAAAGGAGCTAGCCACGGAAACGTAGATAATCTAAACTACGACAACAACGACTATGAACATTATTTCTTAAACAAGTACATGTTAGATGATTGAATTTGAAACGGTAGTTTTTTATTTTTTATTGAGCGATATAAATAAACCACAAAGAGGCCTAATGGCTTTATGTATAAAATAAATTTCCACCACCACGTGCACTTAAAGATAATCTAAATCAACGTACAGTTAAGTAAAAGGCTGTCGCAAAATAAATAAAATTTATACATTTATAAATCAAATTTGCTAACGGATACAATTTTGCAATAAGTACATTTCTTGATACGACAGGTTTAACTTAAGGTGCGCTCTACCGCACTCGGAAATATTTGCTTTCAAAATGGTATTATTTAAAATTTTAGTTTAGTTTAGTTTTTAGTTAGAGTTAGTTATTTAGCAGAAAAGATGCTTTTTCGATATCGACTTTTTCGGTATGGCCCAAGTGACTTCAAACTAACAGAACCAAATAAAACCAAACTGAGGCAGGGTGTAATGGGTATATCATCTAACCAGGCAAACTACGACGAACTTGGCCAGCGTTTAGCACTGTGGACGCTATGAGGAGGTCCTGGGTTCGATTCCCAATAGGACCAATGAGGGAAATTGACGTTACTTAATTGATCCTGGTCTGGGTGTTCCGTGTCAAGTCCCGGAGTTAGTTTCGTTGTTCTGGTGCTCGTGGTATAGATAATTTCCTACTTAGAAACGAAATGATTGACACTATTGTTATTATTATTGGTACAAAGACAAATTCCTCCGCTCTGACTAAACTCGAACCAATGTCTGTGACCATGCCGACTGCCACCTTCTTCTATGGTTCAGGCAAAAGACACATTTCGAGTCCTGCCTGTAAGTATTATAAAACTTAAAAAAAAGAGGTAGTAAATAATTTATTCATAATAATTTACAAATTTATTCTATTAATTACTTAGTAATCGTAGTAGAGCTCCTTGGGAAAGGCTTAGTTCAGGGAAATAATGCCACCTTACTTATTTCTGCCGCCAAGCAACGATGTGCACATAACTGCGTTGCGGTTTGGAAGGGTAAGGGTGCTGGTGAAATTACAGGCACACGGGACATGTCAACTTATGTCTCAGGGTGACGAGCGCAGTGGTAATGACCCTCAGATTTTTGCGAGTTAAAGTTCAGAAATTAAAGTCCCTTGGTATTATAAATAGTAGGTGAAATGTAAACGCTGACTAAGACGATCCACCTAAAATGCCAGTAAGTAATACTTAATACGCTTGCGATTCAAAAATGTAAAGAATGTTGCTTGCAATGTTAACTCAATAAAGGACACGAGCAGAAAGTACAGAAACTTGTTCTTAAATTTTGCTATTATGTTAACTAAATTGGTTTTTATGAATAATCAATGATTAACTGTATATAAGTTGGCAACGTTTCGGAAGTTCAGTTTATTGACCGCGTCAATATGTCTGATACAGGTTGGGAAGAAAAATGCCTGACCAGACATACAGTTAGTGTTCGCATACCTATTTCAAACCTCGTCGAGGCAACCAGTTCCGAGTGCATTCAAGAGGAGCCTTAAGACGGACCGTTTAGTGCCTGGGAGCTGGCGTTTTTCTTAAAAAAAATGTTTTTAAAATTATTCTTCACTTTATCAATATTATTTATTGGGAGTATAAGTTCTGATACAGACGAGGCTGTCGTAGAAACAGTGGACATTCAAGAAGAAAATGAAATTCCTAACTCGTTTAAAGCTGAAACTCGAAATGGCAAACTTCTATTTTCTTATCCACACAGTCCGATTGTTGATATGGTTGTACAATCCCAGTCAGCACATTATGCGTCAAAAAATGGTGATTTCTTCGAATTTTTGAGGGATCCCTATCCCTTGCCTGATGGTAAGTACGATCATACATTATGTTTGCTGCATAATAGATTGTTAGCACTTAAAAACAAATTGTTTGCAATCCAAGTATCCATTACATTTCAATAATTAACTAGTATGGTAACTACGCAACAATATATTCCAGAGCATGATGATGAATGGTGTAGATTTTTAACTAATCGATATAAAGCCCTAGTGACAAACATATCGACAGGTAAAAGGTAAATAGAGGGGCTAAGTGACACTCAGGTTGAAAATGTGTTATACCTTATTATTATCATAAGCCTGTTGTGTCTCACTACTGAGCCAAGGTCTTCTAATCAATCTAATGTTTGGCATTTATACGTACTTTGATAATGCACGGACTTTTTGGGGACTTTATAAAAGGTCTATTACAAGTAATATACATAATCTTCACGCCCTTGTATTCCATTGTGGTAGGCGGAAACTATAGATCGCTTAGCACGAACATGACGAACCTTTCTAAAAAGTAAATTTTGTGAAAAAAATGAAGAAAAAGAAAATACATTTATTTGCACACAACAAATTACATCACATAAGAAAAAGAAAAATCGAACTTAGTTGAAAGTCACGTGATGCACCTTCTAAAATTATCCACAATTTTTAACACATAGGTACATATAGTTCATAACTCATTTACTAAAAGAAACATAGATATTGATTGGGTTGGCTAAAAGTTCGTGCAGTATCAAAGTATAAATGGAAAACATTTAAAAATATATCAAACTTTTAATCAGTTGTGTACTGGCCATGTTGATCTAGATTTTTCCCATATTTCGAGTAATTTTAGAATTCCCCTTTTATTAAGAATAATTTACTCATAAAATGCTGCTCTAAGTGACGTATGATAGTCTCTTCGTTATCAAAGCCGTGTCTATCAAATGAAAGATATTTGTAAAGATCGGAACAAGTGAAAAATTGAAAGGGTAAGTTGGGCGATACGTATGATGTGGTAACACATCACAACCTAACAGTAATAGTTTTTTAAAGGTTTAGTATCATCATGATGAAATACGACACCTTTACGATCACCATTTCTGAGCTTTTGGTGCTTGAAATTAGTAGTGACAAAAACCCCACGGATTTTTTTGGCCAACCCACAATAACCTACGGAAATGTAATATTAGTGTTATTAGCATTTATTGCACGATCCGCCTAATCTTTTTTTATTTGCCTTATAAAAAATAACTAGCAATAAGTCCGCATATTGTACCCTTGTCGTCGTGTTTTGTCTATTGTTTCTCTCCACATTTTGTTCGTGTGTTTCGTAATGAGTGTTTATGTTGTAACATTTTCGTAAAAGTTTAAAGATTACTGAAATGTTTATTGCTTTAATGCACATTAAGTTTTTAGCGCTTGGCCAAACATTACGTATTGCAAGCATTTCAGTCTATTTACCTATTAACTATAACATTCTCAACCTAAGTGTCCATTGGCACCTTTTACCTTTAAAGCGTCGTTATGTAAATAGTAAATTAATAATTTTTATCGAGCTTTTAGGTTTTCGCGATTGCTACATATTGGAAATGATACTATTTTGTTCGGCTTTAAATGAGTAAGCCATGATATTTTTTTTATAACAGCAAGTGACGAGACTAATAAGTCGTGCGCCTTATGTTAAGCTACACGCCTGTCCATAACAGTTTCAGTGCCACTTAGAGCTATAAATTGCAAAGATCTGAAGGGCACTACCACTGCGCCCGTCACCCTGAGACATAAGTTGACAAGTCCCATGTGCCTGTAATTTCACCAAAATCATAGAACCCGTGAAGAGAAGTCCATACGGAATTACACCCGCCGTGCTCCCGACCCGACACGCGCCCGACCCGCACCCGCTGTCACCCGCGTTTCACGCTTTATTGTAATGTCATCGGATTTCCATAATACATACCAAATTGTAAGGCCATCAGACAAGTATAAATAAACAGCTAAACAGGTGTTAATCAAATATAGCCAAGAATCTTCTCGATTAAATTAGCCTTTAAATAAAAAAAACGCTTTGAAATCAGTCCTTACGTTTGGGAGCTACGATACCGCAGGCAAACAGACGCAGTCTTCAAATTTATAAATACTATCTTTTTGCGTCGTGGGTTAAAAAACAGGTAAATTATAATTAAACTAAAAATCTATACTGTACATATTTCGACTGATAGGGTTCGCACGCTATGTGTTGTCGAGTATTGAAACGGTTCAAAAAAGTGTAATAATACTTTTAAGTATCAATGTAAGAATTTATGTACCTACATACCACGTAATTAGCTACATCAATTGTTCTTTGTATAGAACTTTTTACGCAATCACGCTGTAGTCGCATAACGGTGAAAACACCTATACTTTTTTAAAGTAAAGCTGTTACATTACATTGTGTAAAATGTACACACACTAAGTGTGTACTTGATTTGTCAACAAAGTTAAAGGACTCGTGAGCTCCTCTTGTATGACTTTATGAAAGCAAAGTAACGTACGTAGGTCAGTCATAACCAGAGCATATTCACTTAGTGTTTAACGTGAAGTATCGCATGGAATGGATAGTGCCTCCATTTGAAATAGCGGAATTGCTGTATTGAATTTTGTTCCAAATTTTTTTATGTTTAACTAACAATAACGCACTACGGTATGCGGTAGTGTATTTAAAAGAAATGGTTTATGTTTACAACTAAAAATATAACTATTACCTTTTCATATTTTTTATATGAATCTGAATGATTCAGATTTAACCATATATCCTCAGGGGTACACTCCAACCTCTAAGGGGTCCATGTCAGCGAAAACAATAGGGGAGTTGCATAAGACGTTAATAGGGGTCCACGAGAATGGAACCCATTAAGGCAGGTTGTGAACAACAATTTGGCTTCCATAAATGAAATTATCCACACTACACAGATATATGTTCATTATATCATATAGATAAATTATATTATAAAATATACATTTTATTATATATTTAGATAAATACAAAACTTAACATCAATTTGTTTTTTTTTCCCAAGCACGTTAGAAATGTTGAATTCGTAAAAAAGTCAATATTTGATAGGCAGGGTGTAAATAAACTCTATGTATTCCGATTTCAGGTCATAGCTTTAGAAAATTGCATTACCGTTTTTTAATATTCTTATCCATAATCACCTCTGAGTGTATGTAGAGATCTAAGAACTAAGGTGTAAAAGAACACACTTTAAAATGTTATCTAAGTCGCTGGTGAACCTATTCATCCTACTACTACATACTAGCATATGTATTTAGCATACCCCATTTGCACTTTTCATATCGACTCTTGAAATTCAAAATGGGAAAAGCGACACTTTTGAGTAATATATATACCGTTGGAATCAGCCAATGTTTCGGATTCCAATGGTATATATAACTCAATATGATCCAAAGTGTCGCTTATCTCATTTTGCGTTTCAAGAGTCGATATACACACTCTGAGTTTACATTTGCCCTACACATTTTATCCAAAGGGCATTTTTAGTCTGCCTACATATAATAATTACAATATAAGAACGTTTAGTTTAAATACGTCACATTTGAAGTCAGAAAATCACGTAGGTTCCGTAAGTTACTTATTATTCATGAGTATTTTACTCGTAAGCCGGTTTAGGCCCGTAAAGATCACCGTTACGCAGAGGAAACTTATATAAATAAAACATAACGGGCAAGGGGCGTTTAAAACGGTATATCGAGATATTCAAGTCCTTGTACATTAAAGTAAAAGGTATAAAAAAAAATCTGGGTCACTAAACGTAATTTAACACAACAAAGATAAAGACGTTAGACTTTCAAAAAAACATTATGAAAGATTTGTACAGTCAAAAGCACATTAACTTTGACACTGGGACTTTTGTACGTTCTAATCGCGTGAGGCACATTGTTGACTTTAAATCCTAAATGTAGAACTTGAGAGACTGTGTACGACGTATTCGATAAATAAATAAATGCTACAATTTTCCTCGTACGTCGACATTTATGATAATAACAAAAAGCGAAAATGAAAATGCATTATGGTAATAGTTATAACACTTTCGAACAACAATAAAATAATATATGAAAATTATTTGGATAAAATAACATTCATAATGTAAGAATTGTTTTACTTTCTGACTCACAATACGATAACATAGAAATCGGCACAACGAAATTGCGGGCAAACGCAATCCTTACACATAACGAAATATTTTGAAATAGGACTGTACTTGGGATACAGTACTCATTTATATTCTCAAAGAATCTTATGCATCATTGTCTTAACTCGTAAAGTTAAGACAATGATTTTGAATACACTCTTGGACACGTAATTCGAGCCACCTTGCATTTTTGTTCTTAAAGGGATAGAATGCAAAAACATTATCACAGAAAAAAGTTCCCTCCGGTTGTACAAATTAAAATGTTTAAATTAAGACTTATGAAAATGACGTTTAGTATACCAGTTTCTAAATTGCATAGTAGTTTTTGATCAATCAAACATGCAAAGTGAAAACACAAAGTGGCTCGAATTGTGTGCCCGGGAGCGCATTTGAAATGTTTACTTTTCTTAAAAGTAACAGTTATTACGATTGGATAATGCATCTCCAAAGTAAAACCGCAACATTTTAGAATTACTTTGGATAGTGACACCTTTATAAATTTCTAGGTTTAAAACAACCTTTACAAGAATACGACTTCGTCATAATCGGAGCAGGATCGGCAGGCAGTGCTCTAGCATCGCGACTCTCCGAAGATCGTAACACCACAGTGTTGCTGCTTGAAGCGGGCAGAACGGAAATGCTGCTGACTGATATACCAGCCTTGGCTCCCTACTTCCAGTCTACAGATTATACTTGGCAATATTATATGGAACCACAACCTGGAGTTTGTACAGGTAAGTTCATTCATTTTAGTACTTTATTACCTCTACACTTAAAACGTCTTCAGGACATTGGTTCAGCAGTATCAAATGCGGTCGTGTATGGAGTACTGCTGCTACCTATGGGATGGTTTTGCTAAACACCAGCAGGCCACCATGGATTCAGTTTAAAAGCGTGGCGAGAAGCTTATAGGTGACTCGGATTTGGTAGAGCGTGCAATGGATTTGCACGATTTAATTCCGCCTTCCCCTGTCCAGCATCGGGGGACTAGACTTTAGCTGGGATTCCACCCCTTATGTTGTGGATATTCCAAGGATTAGCACGAAGCGTTACGCTTCCACATTTACATGGCGAACGGCTATGGAGTGGAATTCTCTACCTTCAGACTTATCTATCCCCTGAACGCTATAACTTGGGCTTTTTCATGGCGAGAGTGAATAGGCATTATTTAACTATGCATGCACCATCGTCGCTTTCCATTGCGAAATGTATCATCACCATCTTCAGTTTTGGCTTCCTATCTTTGATACGTTGCGCCTCTGTTTAGATGTGAAACCTATAAGGGAGTCACCACACTTATGAAACGGAATGGTCTCTTATTACATGGATATAAAACTTTGTCTGACCGGCTCACGATAACTCTATGTAGATTTAAAAAAATGTTATAGCTCAGAAAAGGTGTGTTCGGGCAACGACCGGTATTTCGCTATGTGAATTTTAAGAGTCTTTAATTAAATAGTTGGGAATTTTACCGCTGCCGTGGATGTATATTTTTGAAGTGGCTTAGTTTGTTAAACAAAACTTATACCTATTTTAAAAGAATCAAGAAATGTCCAAAGCAGAAATATAAGTGACCCTAAGATTGTCTTACTATAAAAATCAATGGAATGGCATATGTATCTAAATACATAACTATAAAATGCTCTTCCATCTACATTATAATAATACCAAATAATATGTTTAGAAATACACTTTATAATTGTTACAAAATGATTGATTTCTCAAATAAACGTGGACATACAGGCTAAAAACTTGATATTATAAATATTTACTTATTTCACATTGATCTTATTATTGATTGAATCATTTTGCAACTTTACACATGTCTACTGATATTATTCATTATTTTGCATGCCAAATCTGGTAAAACAATAATTGTAGGTACCATCTCGCGTTCACCACATTTTCAACAAATATAATGTATAGGAAATGAAACAATTCTTTTTCGGATCTGAATAGTGTATATTTGCTTTTTCAAACAAACCAACGTTTCGGGCCCTTTACAGGACTGGTCCCATAGTCACGGCTGGCTTATTTCAATTTCTGACTGATTGACTACTGATCTGATCTGAATTTATAGGCAACTGCCTCCGTGGCCGAACGGTTACCATGCCGGACTGCCACGCAGAGGTCCCAGGTTCGATTCCCGGGCCGGGAGAAATATTTGTGTGGCCTACATTTATTTCCCTCGTGAGTTTGGGTGTAATTTGTGGTTGTCTATGTGTGTGTCCATGGCACCCGCGACACAGGGTTTCCCTAGTGCGGGGCTATGTTGAGTGTGAGCGTTATTATTATATTATTATTATTATTAATTTAACTTGTTTCATTTCAACGTTGCAGAAGTTTTACTGTTTTTTTTTTAGAGATACTGTAGTTCACGAAATATTATTAGGGCCGATGAATGGTATCAGCTTAAACGGTTTATCTATTATGTTTTAATACGGTAACAAAAACTAAATTTCCTGCGTTTGTGAATAAACAGCCATAATGTATTCTAATGAATCCACACGCGTACATTATAATTATACTTTTATGTATTTTTTCACAATATTGGAAATATTTATATTAATTGTAATTTTTTGTGTTAGTTGTCATTTTTCCATAAATAAATGTGTAAGCTTTACGGTACTAGCTAATACATATGCTAGCTGTGTACAGCAAGCAGACAAATGGCATGTGGCTCACCGAGTCGATTGACTCTTTTCTACAAGAAATTATTAAAAAAAAAAGAATTAGCCTAACATACATTTCGGGAACTACACCAACAGGCAAGGTTGTTGTTTACATCAAATTGGTACCGAAATTCGGATGTAATTATTTAGTTTCCTTGTCTTAAATGAGTTTGAAACTGGTTCACAGCCATTTATTAGCACACAGCTTTGGTCATCAAATTCTCGACCGTAATAAAATATTAATTAATTTGATCGACATACAACATCTCCAAGGTTACGATGTTTATATTATTGACATATTAAAGTAATTAGCTAGTTGTTTTAATCATTCTGCCCCACCTGACTCAGGCAATATGCTCATAATTTGGCACGGAGTATTAATTTTTTTTCATAATATCAAACAACGAGACGAATAAGTCGTGCGCCTGATGGTAAGCTACACGCCTGTCCCGAACACCTGCAGTGCCACTCATAGCTTTAAATCTCAAAGATCTGAGGGTTAATACCACTGCGCCCATCACCCTGAGACATAAGTTGACAAGTTTCACGTGCCTGTAATTTCACCAGCACCCTTACACTTCAAAACCGGAACACAGTGACGGTGGCATTACTTCCTAGCGGCAGAAATAAGTAAGGTGGCAGTACTTCCCTAGACGAACTCTTTCGCAAGAAGCTCTACTGCTACTAAATATCTATATACTAATCATTACAAATACTTGGTGATATTTAAGTAGAAATGTATTGAATTGTAGGTATGCAGAACCAACGTTGCTTTTGGCCGCGTGGTAAAGCTGTAGGCGGTACAAGCGTCATCAATTACATGATCTACACCAGAGGAAGACCACAAGATTGGGACAGAATTGCTGCTGACGGCAACTACGGATGGTAATTCAATACTCTAAGGCATTTATCCAAATTCCAAAACAAAATATTAATTAATTAGACAGAGTATCTATTCTCTTACTTTAAATTTGTCAGTTCCGACAAGTGAATAATTTCGGATCACAGATCGAATATCGAAATTTGGGTTTCGTCACGACCTGTACAATTGCATTTTTATGCTAGTTTGAAATTTCATGCATATCGGTAGACGAACAAACGAGTAAGTCGTAGAGTGTGTAATTAGAGTCGATTAATGGCTGTCACTAGAACTTTATTTTATTTTTGAAGAATAATATAACATTATTGCAGAGGCCGGGAAGTAAGGGATTGCTGGACAAGTATGAGTTACAAGGACGAGCGCCAGCAAAGCCTTGTATTAATACGAGGCCCGCAATCCCCGTTCCCTGCGAGGCATATGAATTTTTCTCAAAAAATGTGAGGAAATAATAAAAGACTAAAGAGAGGAAGATCTATAACAGAAAAAGTAAAGTAATGTTAATTAATATTAAAAGCAATATTTGACGTTTTAGGACAATTGCTAAAAGAAAATGTTATTGTTTTTCCAGGTACATAAATAATTGTAGTCTGCTGAACTTCTGATGATGTGTTTCAATGTGTATCTATTATTGTATTTTCGTTATCGCTCTTCTCACTAGCACTCATTTTCGCGACCAAAATACAAAAAAACAAAAGAATACCAAAACACTTTAGTATAAATGTTACCGCCATTTTCTTTTATTTTTTTAAGTAAGCGGTACAGGTCTTTCCGTCCTCGAGGGTTCAGGTAGATATTTTTAATTCTCGCAATTATGAACACTGTGCAGTTGGCAGTATGAGTTTTTCTTTTGCCTGTTTACATAGTTCATTATTAGTAGGTAGATTTAAAAGTTTAAAGAAGAGTACAGTAATGAATTTTCGTACTTACTTTGCAGGCCTTGGTCGGGGAGAAGTCGCATGATCCAAGCATGTGACAAACTTTCCGTGTTCGTTTATTGAAAGTATTGCAAACATTTCCGAGCGTGTTTGAGAAAATGAATATAAAACAAAACCTGTACTTGTAGTTATTGGGTAGCTATTGCTGGAAAAAATTATCTCGGTCTCCATTCATTTCGATTTTAAATATCTACGTCGATTTCCAATCATTTATTTAGCAACGCACATGTTGATAGTGATCTAATAAAATTCCTAGACACGTACAGTTGACGCAACGCCGAATAAGTGTGTCCTATCAAGGGCGAAGTTCAGATTAACATAGACCAATTATAGTCTAGTATAGGAAGTAATAATAAAACAATATTAATACCAGACACGTACGCCTGTACTTAAAAAAGTATTTTACGTGTTATTTCCAGGTCTTATAATGAAGTTCTGAAATATTACATGAAGTCCGAAAAGGCAAATTTGAAAGGATTCGAGAAGACCTATCACAGAAGCCGCGATGGAGTGATGCCGGTTGAATTCGTTCCCAAAAAGTAAGCAATCAATAATAAGTAATATGTTTCAAATTAAAATGTCACAAATTAAACCGGCAATATCTTTTTCAGGACGAAGTTAGTTGGTGCATTCTTAGAAGCTGGCCGAATACTTGGACACCCTACTGTAGACTACAACGCTCCTGAGACGCTTGGATTCGGCAAAGTACAAGTCACTCAATCTGGCGGACGCCGTCAAAGTGCAGCCAAGGTGTTCCTGCATACGCACAAAAAAAGGAAAAACCTCCACATAATGCCGGAGACACCGGCTACAAAAATTCTTATTGACTCCGAAACCAAAATTGCCTTCGGTGTAGAATACGTTATGAATAAACGGATTCATGCTGTAAGAGCACGAAAAGAGGTTATTTTATCAGCAGGACCTATTGCTTCACCACAACTTCTTATGTTATCTGGGGTAGGGCCACAAGAGCATCTAATTTCAAAAGGAATACCAGTAGTACAAGATCTTCCAGTCGGCAAAACTCTTTACGATCATATCTGCTTCCCAGGCTTGATATTCACACTGAACAAAACTGGAATTAGTTTCACCGAAAGTAGAAGTTTAACTATTCCTGCCTTCTCTGACTGGTTGCGAGACGGCGACAGTGTTTTGTCTTCGCCTGGTGCTGTGGAAGGCATTGGGTATATTAAAACGCCATTATCAGGTGACCCTGAGCCTGTACCGGACATAGAACTAATCGCCATTGGCGGATCGATTGTGTCCGATGGGGGACCAGGTGACAGTAAAGCAGTGCGGAGAGGCATGAAAATCGATGACAAACTTTTCAACGAAGCATTTGGAGAAATAGATAATACTGACACTTGGAGCGCCATACCGGTGTTACTTCACCCAAAATCCGTTGGTTACATTGAATTAATGAACGACATTCCATTCCATCACCCACGTATGGTTGGTAATTATTTAACACACCAAATAGACGTCGCAACGTTTGTGGCTTCCATTAGGCACATACAAGCACTTGCCGATACAGAGCCTTTTAAGAAACTCGGGGCAAAAGTGCACCCGGCGAAATTCTCTACTTGTCAAGGAACACAGTTTGATTCAGACGAATATTGGGAATGCGCTGTGAGGACGCTAACGGCGACATTACACCATCAGATAGCTACTTGCAGAATGGGCCCTGTCGGAGACCCTCGCGCCGTAGTTGACCCAGAATTACGCGTTCATGGTGTTCAGCGCCTACGTGTCGTAGATTCGAGCGTAATACCTCGCACCGTCTCCGCACACACAAATGCTCCGGCAATAATGATAGGCGAAAAAGCAGCGGATTTGATCAAAGGTACTTGGGGCATACCGATAAAATTTTAGCTTTAGGTTTTAAGACTGACAGTAATGGAGGTGAAATAGCCGCATTTATAAATACATAATTATTTATTATACATAATTTATATTGAAAAATAAATATTTTTTTCCACAAGGTTATTGTTTTAATTCACATTCGAATTTGAGATTAAATCGAAATTGGTTACTTATATGTATAAATTAACTTGTAATTTTTTTTATGACGCTACCATAATAAACCATAACAAGCCAAAAAATCCACGGCAGTTGCTGTTTTCTAGTGGTCTCAATAGTGGGGCAAATGAGACTTATAGTGACCCGTTTAGCTCTTGCAGATAGTCTAGATCTAAGATGTTTGAAATAATTATTATAAAAGATAAATGTATTCAAATGTATATTTATAAAGAGCAACTCCTAGAGTTTCTTGCTCATTCATCTCAGGGGAATCTGCCGAACGAATCAGCAGTAGAGTTTAATCTATATAACGAGGTCAAGTGTAATTTGCTTACCTATGAAGATCATCTGAGTTTGAGCCCAAAATTTTTTCCTCATTCTTGAGATATATCAAAAGTAATGTATAATGGCTATTGTAGATCATAATCAACTTGTCATGCCGAAACCATGCCATCGACCTCACGTCAGAATATATGCAAGCAGTATTAGTAGAACTGGCAATTTATAAAACGTTAACCTCTGCGAAAACTTCATATCACAACAGAGCCGTTGTAACAAAAACATAGGTAGTTACCGTCCGACTATTTGATATGCTACAACCAGTGCTGGGCTGGGTGAAGTAAGGCCTATACATCTCTTTAAATACTCAGGTTGTAAAAGAAGGAAATTATTTTTATAAATTACCTATAATTGTATTTTTGTGATTCTTATAATTATTATAATCAATACCCGTAATGTTTCTTATTCAATTTTTCCGGTTCCAGCGACTACAGACCTCTTGTTGATGTTCTATAACTTTAATGTCTTGTTTGTTTCCGTTACATTAAAAAACAAACTGCGGCAAGTCAGCGTAATTTATTTACGTGTGTGTGGAATGCGTGAGCTTACTGAGTGAGGTTAGTAAATGACTAATATATTTTAAACATTAAATTTAAACATTTTAAAGAGGGTCTTTTAAATGTTTAAAATATATTAATAATTTTGTAAAAGTTCTAAAACAATAGTAGAAACTAATCTTTCTATTTGTAAAAAGATAAAACAAGATAATAATAACTTATTGTGTGCTCACTCAGTTCTCACAGAAAGCCAGTCAGATCTACGAAAGTATTAAGTTCGCATATAATATTATTGTACTAGTTTTTAGCCAAAGTTTTGTTAAACTATTGTCTTTAATTACAGATCGATTACTGTGTTTTTCAAATTTTTACAAATACTTTGTCATACTCACTCAATCCGCACATTTTTAAAAAGAACGATTTCTTAAGAACTAAATAAGATAATTAAATTTCGTTTGCGTCTAGTTTTAGTAAAAGTTACAAGTTATTTTGTAAAATATAAATTAAGCCAAATTTGTTAGTTAGTTATTTAAAAGCATAACACCTTCCATATTCGTAACAATGCAAAATTTCGAGTCAAGAAAAGAAACCTACGTACTTAAGATACACGCACAATAACATAATACACTATTATTATTATTAATGATATTTACAAAACTATAGACAGTATGTACATACATGTCATAAAAAAAAACTAGGAGTGAAAAAAATAGGCGCGAATTTATAGTTTTTTTTTTAATATCAAGTGACAAGACGTACAAGTCGTGCGCCTGATGGTAAGCCATATGCCTGTCCATAACGGTTGCAGTGCCACTCAGAGCTTTAAATCGCAAAGATCTAAGGGGCACTGCCACTGCGACCGTCACCCTGAAGCATAAGTTGACAAGTCCCATGTGCCTGTAATTTCACCAGCACCCTTACCCTTCAAAATCGGAACACAGTAATGGTGACATTACTGCTTGGCGGCAGAAATAGTTAAGTTACAGTTCATAAACGAATTACTTTTTGTTATTTATGTTACGATTTGAGTTCTCAAGTATTCGTTACCAGTGGTTCTCTATAGAGCCAATAAATAAATAAAGCAACCCAATATTCAAGAAGTACCTAAATAATATAATAATGGAGCCTGAACCCGTATTTGTTCGTTTGAATGATAATGAAGTTGTTATGACGACGATGACATAAGTACACTCAATAATTAACACTTCATATTAATACCTATATATTACATGTTCATTTTGGCATTTTATTTGTAAATTGTATTTATAGATTTCCACACATATAATAAAAAACTAATATCTCTTTATTTAAATAATAAAAACAAAAAATGAATTGGCAGATATTTAGTAGTAAATTACTATTAAAACTTTACCAATTATAGTCTCTGTAATACTCACAAATCCAAATTGACGTTTGTTATTTTTCAAATAATAAAAAAAATATTGACATTTGTTACTTTTCAGTAATGTAAGGATTGAGTGAGCACTTAAAAAACTTTTATTCAAAAACGTTTCGCATTAGTGGCTTGATTTATATTTTACAAAATCATTTGTAACTTTTAATAAAACTAGACATAAACGGAATATTAAAAAAATTATTTGGTTCTTAAGAAATCATTCTTGTTAAAAGTGTATGATGGATTGAGTGAGCATAACGAAGTATTTGTAAAAATTTGAAAAAGATACTAATCGCTCTGTAATTAAAGACGGTAGTTTAGCAAAACTTTTACTAAAAACTAGTACAATAATATTATATGCAACTTAATAGCTTTGTGGATCTGACTGTCCCTCTGTGAGAACTGAGTGAACACACAATAAGTTATTTTTCTATTATCTTTTTAAAAATAGAAAGATTGGTTTCTACTATTGTTTTAGAACTTTTACTAAATAACTAATATATTTTAAATATTTTACAGAGGGTGCTTACTCAATCCACACACTTATATTTATTTTTCTGTTTTTTGTTGGATTTTCTTCAATGGAAGAAATTACAATTTTATCAAAGCAAGATTATTTTGATTGAGATTTACAGACAGTTTAAGGTTTTTAAATATATACTTTAACTTCAAGTACAGATTACGCTTGGTCCAAAGTTCACTAGGCTTGTTTTTCTGATAACTTCGCCTTAACAAGTTTGTTCAAACGTCAAAAAAAAACTACTCGACATAATTTGAATTCATTTGATACTACACGTTTAAAGCACCGAATAACTGTATAAGCACGGGTCAACCGGTCTAAGCCATATTTGTGGAAGTTACAATCCACCTCAGTTTTGATTTTGGCAGGAGCCCGATAACATCCAAAATGTGGAACTTAGTAGTATTTTTTATTGTTTTACAAAACGTGTCATGTTTTAGTCAATTTCTTAACGATGAAGCCTACGTTCGCGTTGATGAAGAATATCAAGAGTATGCGATACCTTTACAGTGTCACCAATATTGTACAGAAGAAAGGGAAAAACGACAATATTCTCCAGGAAGGAGTAGAGTTATCGAAGCAATGTTGAAAGCTCCTACATTTAATTTAAGTCCCGACCAATCTGATTTGTTTTACGTCCTGAGAGACCACTATGAATTACCTGAAGGTATGTACTACAATTATAAATAAACCCTTGGTGTAATAAGGCCACATTTCGATGTCGACGACCTCCGTGGTCATGTGTTTTGCATTGGTCATCATTACTGAAGTTCCGAATTCGATCCCCGATTGGATCAATGCAGAAAGTAACTTTTCTATATTGTCTCGGGTCTGGGTGTCTGTGGTACCATCGTTGTTTTCGATTTACATAAAACAAGTACTTTAGTTACCTACTTTAAGATCAGAACAACGTACATTACAACGTGCATTGTCTAATATTTACAATTACTTAAAAAAATATATGCAAAATGACAACTTTTCAAGAGAGGTTTAAAAATTCTACGAATGAAATTAATCGATTACACATAACAGTTATAAAATTTCACATCATATGTAATAAGATTCATGTAGCTCGTATTATTTTTATAACTTTCATGTTATAAAAGCCTTTTGACGTATGACCACATGTGGCTTTATTTTACCAAGGGCACTAAACATTGCTCCGGTATATTTTTCACATATGAAGTGACGGGACGAACAAATCGTGCGCCTGGTGGTAGCTACACGCCTGTCCATAACAGTTGCAGTGCCACTCAGAGCTTTAAATCGCACAGATCTGAGGGGCACTGCCACTGCGCCCGTCACCCTGAGACATAAGTCGACAAGTCCCATGTGCCTCTAATTTTACCAGCACCCTTATCCTTCTAAACCGGAACGCAGTTTTGCCAAGATTATTACTTAGCGGCAGAAATAGGTAAGGTGGCAGTACTTTCCAGGATGAACTCTTTCACAAGGAGCTCTATTGCTGCTAGATTTTTGTTGAAGAAAATCTTATGAACGTCTTGCTCAAATACATTATTAAAGTAATATAGTATCTGAAAGAGATATAATTTAACTATTTAAAATGCTAACTACAACCATTATTGCGTTTGCTACATTTTTTGAAAAATTACATCAGATACCAGGTATTCACTCTATGACGACGATATGTAATTTTCACTACCTACGTTATTTTATTACATTTTCATTTATAATAAAGCAAAAAGTAAATACGACGGACTCTCTCCATAACAACTAATTCAACCACGGTTTTCACTTTGATTTTATAATTCGTTATCAATTCTTTCCGTATTAACTATAAATGCTTATTTCAAATTGCAGAAATATATACAATGTGTACCAAAAATTGAGTAATCAAAAATTGTTTTTAGGAAAAAACACTTAATTTCTAAGACAGTTTCCTTGTTTCTTCTATAGTTTCGGATTTTCCCATAATGTCCCAGTTAAAAAAAACACAGTGTATATCTATTTTTACATTTTATGATTGCATTTCATTATAGAAGGTAGAGTTGGGTGCATTCCACAAACATTTTCTAGAAATATTATAGAAACATTCATTCTCGTTAATATATTAAATATTGTAAACACAATAACGGCACTTCTTGAACTTGTACTGTGTTGCACGTAACTTCGTACAACCGGTAACTATTACATAATATGAAATCCATAATAAACGGTTCTGTTCAAGAGTTTCATAGACAATTAATTAATGATCTAGTATTTTATATGGGAAAATAGTTATTTATTGTGCAAGGCTGCAAAGTTGTTGCTTGTATTGGAACCTGATCAAGCGAAGGACACTAAGATTATACATAGAATCCTGAGCGTAGCGAGGGTTTCAAGTCACGAGACCCAAAACAACTTTTCTGCCCAGCGGAACACCACCCTTTCACCTCACTATAGCGAAGAAAATGGTAGATGAAAGAAAAGCAAGCGAACTATAACAAATCAGTTTTAATAGACAAAATTATCGTAAATTTTATCGTAATAGATATCGTTGTCAGTTTAACGTCAACAATAATAAGAATATAATATACCAACGGATTTATATTATATAAATTTAATAACGTACGACAAATCGCGTAGTTGAACGTTGAACGTATTATTATTATTTTTTTCGAAAGAAAAAGTTAGGTGCATTGGGTGCACCATAGTCATCGTCGAATTTGAATTTCAAAAACCTTTTTCATGCTAGCACATCCCGGACACTCCATACAACGGTTGAAAGTTATTTACCTGGTACTACTACTACTACTTACAACAAGGCGCTATCTGCACACGCGCAAATGTGCGCAATTGATTATAAACAATATTACAATTTATAAATTTATAAATTCCTTCGCGTTTGGATACCACTTTCCACTTAACATCAGGTGGAGTGGAGTCATTTGCCTGTCAAGTATAAAAAAAAAAAAAAAAAATTAACCATCTGTCCGTATCAAATATTAAAATCGACAATATTCCAACTACGTAAAGCACAAAATCGTAGTTTGAAATATGCGGCTTAATTAATCAGAAGTATTTTAAGTATCTCCTAAATAACAATGATAACAATTTAAAGTGTAATTTAAAGTGCGAATGTTTTAATAAAACTACTTTATCCTTATAAACCTCCCAGAAACTTTTGTTACCTTTGTAAAAGCTTTGGATGAACCACAGACCACATAGAAATACATGAACATTTTAGACTGTCTTTCTAAAAAGCAATTTCCACGTGCTTGCTTTGTAAAAACAAAGTTATATCGTTCGGAAACAAGAAGTGAGACAGAGAGATGAGTTGGCTGGCGTGTAGGTCCGTGAGAAAATTTTAACGCGAATCTGTAATTCTATGAATATAATCCTAATAAGAGAATATTCATATTCATTTATTTATTGCGCCATATTTTATTTGCGCAATATAATTTGAAACAGTTATTACATATAAAGGTCAAGGTATATAACAGGGGAAATAATAGATATAACTGTATATGTATCACTTATTACACATATTCATTACGTAATTAGATCGATATAATATAAAGTTTTCATTAATTCACTATCTAGAATAATATTGAAATTTTTTTTTTTAAATCAATTTAAAAGCACTTCAAATGTTATATTTTGGACAGGTACTTTTGAATAATCTTATTAAAAATCAAGGTATTTGAAAATGCATGTCCAACTTTATCATTACCTAGTTAACAATTCTATGTTCACTACATATTTATAGTCAATACAAATTGAAAATTCGAGAACCATTGTCTACTAGTTTACGAACATAAGGCGTCTCATTACATTGTCATAATTATAATAAATGTGTATTATATGTATATTACTCTACACTAAATAAATTAAGAATAACAATAACTGAATGAGTCTCCGACTTTATTTTATCGGAAAAGGAAAGAAACTCCTCTCTTTAACCCGTTTTTAGATAACGATCAACAGCAGTGCACAGCAAAATTCACGACCACTATAAATAGTAACGCACAATGATGCTACATATTAACGTAAAAGTTTTGTAATGAATAAATGAAACTATATTCAAAGACGATTCAAAATCTGAGTGCGAAAACGGCTCGTTGACAGCCTTGTTGCCGTTCAGTCAATATGACCATCAATGTGCTGGGCGAGGTGCGGTATCTAAGGGTCGAAATTCGTAACGCAGAAAATTGCGACGCAAACCGCTGCGATGCGATTTCGTGTGTTGCCACACGAAATGGCATGTGCCACGGTTCGGGTAACCATTCTTTCGACGATCATCAACCGTACAGAACGTTTTTTTAAAATAGGTAGCGACATGGATCGTATTAGAGTGTTGCACTACTGTTATTGAAAAAAATATAGGAAAAAAAACACAAAGAAGATTAACATAGCAGGAATGCGAGATGCGGAGCAATTCGTAAATTCTTGCGTTGCGCGAGCTCGTAGACTTGTGTTTCGACCCTAAAGCAAGGGAAGAACGGAGTGTCCGTTTTTGTTCTCTGACGCTAGCGTGCAAAAAACTATGTTTTATTTTTCTTCTATTTTAACCTTTTTATTTATTACCGAAATTACATCCACTGTACCGACACATTTTCTGTCATTGATGTACAGGTATGTCTCAGTGATACTACAGCAAAAATAAAGTCAGGTTAAAATACAATTCCAGGTTTCAAAGGACCTCTGTCAGAATACGACTTCATAGTTATTGGCGCAGGTTCAGCAGGCAGTGTTCTGGCATCAAGATTGAGTGAGGGCAAGGAAGCGTCAGTGTTACTACTGGAAGCCGGCCGACCAGAATCCCTATTCACTGAAGTTCCTATTCTTGCGCCTTTTTTCCAACAGACGGATTACGTTTGGCATTATTTGATGGAGCCACAGCCTAACGTATGTATGGGTAAGGGCAAAACTTTTTATTGTTTTAACTATCACAGCACAACATTGTAAAACAAGCAAGATAAGGACAAAGGATAAAACCGAGACTTCTTTGCAAAATTCGTAAAACATTTTAAAATAAATATCGAGTTCTTAGGTTTTCGCGATTACTACACATCGGAAATGAAACATTTTTTTTCCGGATCCAAATCGCGTATATTTTTCAAATAAACCAATGTTTTGGGCTCTTTAAGGTCACATGATCACGGCTGACTAGAAAAGCTTTCGAATTTTATTTGTTTTCGAGATTGTTACACATAAGAAAAGAAATGAATTTTTTACCGAAACTAAATCGCGTATAATTTTTTTTTAAACAAATCAACGTTTCGGCCTCATCGGTCAGTCGTGACCATGAGATGTACTCGTATAAAGAGCCCGAAACGTTGCTTTATTTGAAAGAACAAATATACGTGATTTATATCCGGAAAAATAGTTGTTTTATTTCCTAAGAAAAACATTTTAACGTTTTGTAGTTTTTACACTTTTACCTTGAAATCCTCTACTTGTGATAAAGCAAATCCGTTAAGATTATACGTAATCTCTTCATCTTAAAGCACCTTTAACTTAACGTTTGCTCCACTTGTAGTAGTAGAACATGTAGTAGTCCTTCGAATAAACTTCAATTTTCCTGTTTATGCTATTTTTATATCCTCATTACAATTTCGAACGTGATCTAAGTAGAGTTGAAATTAAACTTTACGCAATTTAAAAAATTTTAGCAATTAACTAAAACCGTAAGTAAACAAATTAAATATTTTAATTTTGAAGGTTAAAATTAACATACTAATTTTGAAATTAAAATTAACAAACTGCAGACTAAGTCGACGTACATTAATTGCTAACAGGATATAGAATGTTCTTTGGGCGATAAATGTCTTCATTAGGATTAATATAAAAAACAAGGCATAAAACCAGGTCATATGTGTTTATGGTATCAAAACATAAGACTGCAGCATTTAGGGGTAGTTTCAAATGACCGGCTTACAGAAAACAGGTACGCAATGAAACTTATAAATAAATACATATACAAAACATTATACCGCCAACAACTACTCTCGCCACAAATATCTGTCTACTTTTAAATAACTAATTTCATACCTGCGTGTACTCTTACACGTAGCCATTAAAGAATTTTTACCTTGTTTTATGACACTAAAACATACTTACAGTCAAAATTAACATTTACAGCTATACTTGTATTCAAATTCGCACATGTATTTATATTTCCAATAGGGTATTGTAGATACACTATTTAATATACTTTACTAATATGTATTTGTATTTATTATTTATGTAACCGCCTCCGTGGCTGAACGGTTACCATCTGCCTGCCACGCAGAGGTCCCAGGTTGGATTCCCGGGCCAGGAGAAATAGTTGTAAGACAACTTGTAAGAAGACCTACAATTATTTATCTAGTGAGTTTGGGTGTAATTTGTGGTTGTCTATGTGTGTGTCCATGACACCCGCGACACAGAGTTTCCCTAGTGCGGGGCTATGTTGAGTGTGTGCGTTATTTATTTATTATTTATTATCTGTATGTAATATGACCTGTCAATAAAGAATTATTATTGGGAGACGACACTGGCTTCTGTTACACAGGTCATACCTAGCTCAGGAGTTAGGGACGTCATTACGTTGTAAACTATTTTGTGAAATAAACATGATTATTATTAGTATATTACATGTAGGTATTGTGCCAATGAAAAACTGAAAACCTGAACCTTAGGGTCGTTAAAAATTAGCGCAGCGACGCCACGGGATTATAAACTTAATCATCTACAAAATAAGGTTACATTTATTTAAACAAAAAATTTAAAAAAAGATGCAACAAATGGCTTAATTCTTTTATTATTTTCTTCTGAAAGAAATATTAATAAATATTCACTTCATTTAGTAGAAACGAAGTTCTATATCGCATTGCTATTTCGAACGTTCGCGCTACGCAGCCCAACGTCGCTCAGTCGTTGTCGGCCTTTCAAAGAAATATTAAGTACTTATTGTTGAGAAGCAATTTTCACATTGCATAACCCGTAGCACACGACTACGCGCATCTTTACTCGCGTCGTATTACAGCGCCAATATTATGAGGCGACCCTTGGTCAAGTCTCACCGAACGAGCATGGGCTGGAGGAGCGTTTTCGGCCTCTGCTCGTTCCCTATGACTTGAGTAGTGCTCTTTCAGTGACATGACAAAAATTATAAGCTTTAAAGAACAATGGCAAACACCCATATAAATTTTTGTTGACATAATTTGTACGCGTCTGTTTATGAAAAACATGTGAAAATATAGACTTGAAATTCCTGAACAACTTTTGTTTTAAATTTTGTATTATTCTGAGAAGTCTGGAATCAAAGATATTCCAGTTTGAAGTTTTGGAGGTTATGTGTTACGCAATTGAATAAAATATATTCGGTGTATTATTATATCAAAATAAATTACAGAAGCATTAAACAGAGTTAATAGAAGCTGGATGGTGCAGTGGGTTAGTGACGTGACGAAAACTTATTTTTTATACTAATATGGTCAAAAGGCCATAACAAAAAACTTAGGCCATAACAAAAAAAACTGAGTTAATTAATAACATACCACAGACTCTTATACTGGTAACTCCTTAGAAAATTAGTAACTCGGGCACAATTTTTTTTTTTTTGTTAAATGTGCCATCATCCATAATTTCGGGAATAAATTTTTTTTTTGTCTGTCTTACCATTTTCTCACGTTGCATTTTGGAGAAAGAATTATCTACTTTATTTTTTGTAGTGAAGTAGGTAATCCTTTATTACAAATCGGTCGAATCAGTACATTTAATATCACGTGAACTAACCTAATGTGGACCATATCCATACGTCTGTACTGAAATTCTTTTTTTAGCGGCTAGATGTCACTCCACGTTAAGAAACTAAGAAACTGACAATTGTACAATATCAGTCCGGTAACATACTAAAGGCACACTTTCTTGTCAATATGGTTTTATTTCCAGACTTAGATAGGCGCTATTGTAATTTGAATAACCTAATGAATTTCTTTTATTCAAACTTGTAATTAAGACATTTGAAGACGCTAACGAATTCTTTTAACTATGATTTTGCCATTGTTATTTTGTAACTAATCCGTAACTAGTCAACAAACTGTTTTTTTATGTATGTAGAGAATTCTTGTTCCAAAATCCCAAAATATAAAAAAAATATGTAATAAGACTGCAGCAGAATAGCAAAACTTAAGATCGCTTTATCTACTTCTAATATATTACACAATCAAGTGTCTATTTACTCGGCATTGAAGCTACTTTTACAAAGTTAGACACCCATTAACACAGTTTTTCCACGACAAATTAATATGGCGTTGCTTGC